GTGTGATTACATGCACAGTAATGTCAAGATACGGTTGTAGCTCGATTAGGCCATTTCATTCGACTATCGTTCTTGTTACAGTGTACAAGCACCCCAGAAGAATCAGTTTATGAATGATAGGTGGGGATTTTTAGCTCTTTACTTTTGGACATTCTTTAAGTTTACCTAGTACATCACATACAAAACATTTGAGAAAAAAAAAAACATATTAGCAAGGGACAAATGGTTTTCATTCCACTACTTCAATATGTTTAGCTGATACAACATAAATTGTGTCTCCTCAACTTTCTTATGCACATTTATGCTGTTCAACTTCCAGATCAAAGCCCGGCGCAGGAACTGAGTAGGCACACAGCGCTAGGCTAGTTTGGTTCAGATCAAGGTGTATACATGCATGAGAAAATCGACTCCTAATCATATGTATAGTCAGTGTCAGTGTTGAGAAGTTAGCTGTGCGCTTTCAGTTGGATTTGCATGTTTACATGCATTTTAAAAGACTAGTTTTAGTTGAACCAACACTTTTTTGGGGCATATATTTGAAGTTTGACTGTTTTCCATCTCTTCTCATCACTTCTTTACTATCTTCCCTGAGCCACAACTGTTTCCTGTCGCTCTCCCTCTTTTCCCTCAGCCCCCCTTTGAGACTGTACATTGTTTATGTCGGCGCTCAGAAAATGCTGAGGTGTAATTCTATGGAAATCGAGCTCATGTTGCAGACACACAAAAACATAAACAATATGTCTAATCCAATAACATGCACTGCTTTGTGTGTGTCTTTTGTATGACTTGAGAGTTACAGATGCAGGCCAGATAGTGTCGGCTCAGGAGAGAGAGATGAATGGGATGAGAGAAGAACAGACACTTGTTTATGGACTTGTTTTTTCAACTTGACCTATTATTTTTCTCAAAATCACACGCAACTATTCACATAGTGTAAGAAGAAATCCACACCTGAACACATCACAATTATAGACCTGCATAAACAGATCAAACACTCTTTCAATTCCTTTCACAACAGCCTCACACTGAAGGGTTTCATTGTCACATGAGATGAATAAATTATCCCTCATCTTTACTAAAGTGTTCAAATCACGCATTCAGCTCCTGTTCCAAACTTGCTGTTTAACATTTCTTTGTCACATTGAATCATTGGGCTCAATGTGCTCTACGCAGAGGTTAGTCAAAAAGAATTCACATTCAGAGTACAGGATCCCTGAATACTGAAGTTAATCTTATGCTACTGGCATAAAGTTTTTTCTGTACATTCAAAATAATAATGACAATATTGTAGTAATAATAATGAAACCCAATATGTGGATTATGTTGAAGATCTCCATTAAGGCATCAAGCAAGGGTCATTCATGAGCCTGATGGGTGTGGGCACAAAACTTGACATGGCTCTGTTAGTCCTGAAGGTGAGAGATGTGTATCTGTGGCTGAGGGGAGGAGGTTGTAGAGACTGCCAAGTGTGTGTGTGCTGTGTGAGGCTATGTGTTGTCCTTTTAGTTTTGTCCTCCTGTTGTGAATACTGTTAGTGGTTCCTGCTGCTGTCCGATTGTTTTACTGCTCACTTTTACTTCTGGAATCAATCAAATCGACATAATTCCTCTTCACAACAGCTGTCTTTGATGAACTGTTTTTGGTTTTAATTGAATGTTGCAATAAAGCAGAAAAATCTCTGAAACGCTTCTTTTTACGCTTCAATTAATCATAGAAGTCCAATTGTCAGAGATGTCCTAGTTCCTGCTCAAATTCATAGTAAGCTTTTCCACTATTTTAAATGATAATAATAATAAAAGTATATTTTCGGTTTTGGGCTCTTTTGCCAGCAAAAAAGCAATTTGATAGCACATTTCTATTTAATACCCTGCATCTCGTTTTCTCCATAAATGTAAGCATTTATAATAAATAAAAAAAAAAAAAAAATGTCCTGCTCGATGTCATGTATCCATTTATGAGCTGAATTTTAGAGCTCTGGGAAGGATCAGTTTGGTGTTGATTTTTAAACTAAAACTAAAGCCTTTAATTGTTCATTAAAAGTTACAAATGTTGAATTTTCATGTTTTTGTGACGTTTTTAATAAAGCTATACAAAAAAGAAAACATCAGAGTCACATGACACAACTCAACGAGGAGTTTGTAACAGCAGCCATAATCCCCCCCCCACTCTGCTAAAATGTTCCCCTAGTTCCCTATATGTCGCCTGTTAGATCTGAACATTTAGTCGTTTGTTGATATGTTGTAACATGTTTTTTCTGCAGAAGCTTTTGCCAGTTTCGGCACATCATGTTCTTTTCCTGACAGGCGGGTTAGTGCTGCCTTGTAATTTTCACTAAAAGCAGATAATTAACATGTGTTTGTTATGTATTTACTGCATGTATGTGAAAAGGAGAGGAGCTGTTATGTAACCTGCTGCAGTGTGAGGGGTTGAGGGTGGGTGTGAGGATAAAATATTCATGTCCATCTAGAGAGCATCATGAATGTTAATGGGACACATTGGAGAGGAGGGATGAAGAGAGGAACCACAGAATGAAAAAAAAAAACAGGCAGAAATATGGATATTTCAGTCATGGCAGATGGCTGTCTACAAATGAGTCTGGGTCTGTTCGAGTTTTCTGCCAGACGAAGGACATTTTCCTTCTCACTAAACCCAAGTGCTAACTCAGTGGTAAGATAAGATTTGATTTAATACTTTATTGTCCCCAAACAGACTTAAAAACTACACAAATAGAGATCATACAAAACATGTAACAATTCAGTCAATGCAGTGACATATTGACATATTGACATATTGACATATTGCACAGCCCCTTGGCACATTCTACATCACCTGTTATTCAGAATATTGATGGACATCGGCACAAATGAATGTTTAAAACAGTTCAGCCTGGTTTGAGGGACCCTGAATTTTCTCCTGGAGGGTAAAAGCTGAAACTCAGAATGAAGAATGTGGGTCGGGTCAGACACTACTTTCTGTGCCTGTCTGACAACAGACTGTTCATAAAGTGTTTGGAGGTATGCCGTTCCAGGCTGTAATACCGTATCTCATAATGTTTTCAAAAACAGCAGTTTAAAACAGTAACATACATTCCTGCTAATACTCTCATTCTGCGCAAGAAGTACATACCCTCACATACCCTTACAGTGTGGAGCAGTGACTCTCGTTACTTGTGCGAGCAGACCTGTACGATGGGTTTCATTGTGTTCATTGTATGACCACAGGCTGATTGTCCACTCACATGGGATCAAACTGCATCTCCTCAGGCTTAACATTTAAAACAAGATTGTTACTATCCCACCAGTGCACCAATCTCTGTAGTGGTCAAAAACATTATATATGCATATAATATATGTATATATTTATTTTTAAATGGTGCAGAACTTCTCTTTTTGTAAAGTGTCCTGAAATAACTTAATAACTTTGAGCACTATTAATAAAAATGATTATTTGATCAATATGTTTCCTCCTCTCCCATCTGTGTCTCTGACTATCTCTCCTTTCTGTACCTCATTCACTCTTCAAACTTTCCTTCATCCCTTCATCTCTTATTCCTCCAACCATCCACCTGTTCAAAGCCTACTTCCCCCCCTCCATCCTTCCTTTACTTCTTCCTTCCTTCCTCTCCTTTTCTTTCCGTCCCTACCTCACGTTTTCCCCCAATCCCTCCTTAAGAGGCTCGATGAGGGTCTTAGCGTGTGTGTGTGTTTTCTTCACGTGGCAAGCAATAGTGTGTGTAGGGTCTGAAGGAACGTGCCAGTGGCCTGCTACACAAAAAAAACACATTATGGAATTCAACTCTGTGGGAAAACTTGAACCCTCCTGCAGTCTGCTATGCCCTCTCTCTGTGAGGCGTGTTATAAGCTGAAGTTCTTCACGCCTCTTTTTTTTTTCTCTTTGAACATCTCTCTAATATCTCTTCCTCACACACACACAAGCCCCTCTGTGCATGGAACAGTAGCTCAATTTGAAGATATTTTAGGTCATAAAAACTATCGCATGCCTTCATCCCTCCCGCCCATTTTCACAGACAGTCGGAGTGTGTGCGAGTATTTATCATGTGCTAAACCCAATTACACTCTTTGAAAAATGGTCTCTTTTCATAGGAGAGGGCACGTGTGTGTGATTACAGCATGTCGACATCTCTGCCGCCAGCCCAAAACCAAAAAGGTGGATTGAATCTTTTCTTTGTGGTGCTCACATCATCTCAAACCAGAAAGTAAAACCATGTTTGTTCAAACTCTTCAAACATTATTTTTCTTCAGGTAACAACAAAAGGAGGTCCAATAAAAAACTGTCAACAGTGTTTGAAATTGAACTCATCAAAGAAAATGAAGCTACACTCTTACATATTTGTCTGGAGGCAAAAAGCCCTTCACCATCGTCAAAAGATCCTTCTTTAATGTGTTGGTTGTACAGTAAACAGAATAGGAGCCATTGATTACACAAGATCAAAACATTTGATACAGTATGCCGAATATGTGAATATGTGTAAACTTATAGAGAATTGCCTTGTGTTTGAAGCTTGACGATCTTCCTTGGGCAGTGTTGATAAAACAGTTATGGGTTAAAACACATAGCTGGTGCGTCAAAAAGCTCTTCTACTGAAACACAATTGTCCCTTTCGCTGCCATTTCCATATGTTAAAGCAGCTTGATCCGCCCAATCTTTACTATGTCACCTTTCCATATTTTTTTTTTTTACGATTTTTTTTTTGTGCCTCTTGCGCACGCACTAACCATTGTGCCACCAGCGCCACACCTTTCCATATTTTCTTATTGTGTCTATTGATGCACACCAAATGTTGAGGCTCACGCCCAGTTCATGATCAATGACCTGACAAAGTAGCGTGTCAGTAAAATCTTGTTGTCAAATATTTTGTCTTTATGCTTGGATGTTCTTTTGATACACATCCAAAAGTTTAATTGCTGTTACTAACTTGTTGTTTTCCTCTTCTCTCTCTCTCTCTCTACTTCACCTGACGCCGTCGTCTTGTCCTTCAGATTGATCAGCCAATCGATGGGGATTCTCAGAGGAGCTCCGCCTACCTTTGCCGCCTGCCCTACTCCACCACCTCCCTCCCCCTCACCCTGCAGCCACTTCTTCACCCCTGCCCGCTCCGTCTCCCAGCTCTCCATCCAGCCTTTCTCCATACACAAAATGACTCTGGAACTCACCGAATGGTCCTCAATATGGATTTGTACAGCTTGTAATAGACAGTAAGAGAAAGAGGGAGAAACCTCAATGACAGAAAAGCCATAATCATTCATACACACCACACATACACACACTTACACACTATACATAACACACACACACTCACACAAACAAGCAAGTAAACACTGACAGATTATTCTCAATAATACACACAAAAAGGAGCAAACGCACCAACCTGCTCTTGGAATGTAACACATGCGCTTCCTGTGAAAATGTAAACACTTCGTCTGATTTCTTGATTTTCGACAAGCCTTCTGGAAAGCTGATTTTATTTTTTCTTAACTCTGGGGATTAAAACAAAAAGGCCAGAGGAGGATTAAAGCCTGTTGGATTTGGAGCTGCAATATTTTTCGTTGGACAACTTGATTTTCAGGTGACTTTTTTTTTCTAAAGGATAACTCGTTTCTGATCTTTTTTGTTTGTTTCTTTTAACATTAATGGATCTATACTAGATCTTGTTTAAATAACCTAGAGTCCTTTTTAAGCAGGACACAGTTTTAGATATAATCATTTACCTAGATTGCTGGGACACTATCTGTTACAGAGTCTTAGAAAAAAAAAAAGTGTAACTTGTAAAGATTGTACTTCCGTTACTTCCAGAAAGTCACTACTTCTTGAAGTTACTACAAAAGAACGGATACATCCAATTTTTTTTGTAAACTACAGGTCAACTCTAGATTTTTTTGTTTGTACGGAGAGGTGCACTTGTTTTTTCCATCGCGTGCATGCCCTCCAACATGCCTCCCCAGAACACAGAGGCTGACACCATGCAGGTCGGATCTGTGGTTGGCGGGGTCAATGCCAAAAACTCCACGACATCGGGCTCGGACGAGGAGAAGGGAGGAGCAGCCGGCGAGACGGATGGAAAGGGGGGAGGAGGCCAAGGAGCGGAGGAGTCGGCGAGCGATGGATCTGTAGAAGGCATCCCCCTGAAGAGATGGGTGATGCACGGGGCTGTGATGTTTGGACGGGAGTTCTGCTACGCCATGGAGACAGCGCTGGTGACGCCGGTTCTGCTGCAGATAGGTAAGTCAACAAACAGGTTAATGTTCATAATAAGTGTGTTCAACAGCACAATAGTTCCATTCATTACATACCTGTCACATTTGAGAAATTACTTCTTTCAATGCTTTTTTTTTTTACACAACCAGTCACTTTCTCTTATTCAGTTCACAGTGATATAAACACAGTGAAGCACAACATCCTCACAAACAACAGTTAAATGATATCTTTATGCATTTAAGCCGAAGATAACATAAACATTTGAAGAACACAAATGATGTTGATTCAGCGTCAGTCAAACATAAACGTAAGAAAAAGAAGCAGCTGCAACCCCAATAGTTGAGGATGAATAACCGAAAGGATACTATCTTTTTTAATCGGCATATCGACTTTTCTTTTTTCTTTTTTTTTTTAATGTGCCATAGTACATTGTCATCACAATTACAAATGATCAAGACATAAGTACATATACAGCATACTACACTCTTCTGAGTTCTTTAAAGTAAGATTAAACCTTATAGCTGTAGACAAAAGCTAGCCTCTATGGACCTGTTTATCTTTTTTGTGGCAACTTAAAGGAGCCGTAATCCAGAGAGAAAGTGACAAAAAAAAGAAGTTAATCAAACAAAAACAGCAGTTTGGCTTCCTAGACTTTCGAATAATACCAATAAAGTATAAAGACACAAAAAAATAAAGTCAATTACAGAAAGAAAACAGATAAAACGCGTCAATGTTCCTTCAATGCACCTAATCAACAAAGTCAGGTCTCAGAGGTTTGACATATTTCACCCACTCTGCCCAGTGTGATCTGAACATTTCTAGCCTTCAGTTTAAAGAGAATATCGACTTTTCGAACGTAAGAAGCATAGGAAGAAATCATCAGAACACAAAGTGTGTGCACACATCAAAGTGTGTTGTCTATCTAGATGTTGTTCTGGCATTTAAGAATGCACCTTGGCAGCTCAGTACGTCACGCATCCTGTCCACCTTGTTTAGATGGCCTTCCACTGGATCTGCCAGGAGATTAGCCAGTTCACTCACAAAACGCACACGAACACACACACACCCACCCACACACAGGCAATGAGTGTGCTGTCATTGGCACCCTGCTTAAATCTTTGACAGCCTTTGAGAATTTGCCAAGTCCAAATTCATCTGGAGTACATTGCAGTCCTCATGGGGGACAGAGAGGGTGTGAAGAGAGAAAAGGAGACGAGAAGGGAGGGGAGGAAAGAAGAGATGAGATCGGGAGAGAGAGAGAGAGAGAGGGAGAGACTTTAACAGCCATAACCTTGTTTATAATTCAAAGTCATTTCCCATGCAACCCCTTTCATCCCCTCACTTTCTCTTGCTTCCTTTTCTCTCGCTCCGTGTTGTGACCATCTCAGCTTACATAACCAGGGCTACACGAGTGGCGGGACACTCTGTGGTCACCCTTACTCCTGGCCGGCTCACCCAGGATGAGCCGCCACGGGGAACCAACCTTTGATACACGAGAAGTTAGTAAGGTTTCAGCTTCAGTCAGAGGAGTGCAATACTCAGAAAGTGCTGTCTTTTCGTTACATATGAAACATTCAAACCAGAACCTCGCACCTTTTAACCAAAATCCCCAAAACCCCCTATTAGGCTTCTTTTTCTGACCATCGGACATGTTTTTGTTCTATTTTTAGCCTTGATTTTGGCGCCCTAGTCTATTTTTGTAGATTGGGCTGTGTCTGAGCCCCTCTTAGGAGATTTTTGAAGCACTGAGAGGTACAGAGGCTGCAGATTACTCAGCTGCAATGAACCAACTAAAGCAGACAGAGCTGTGATTTTTGTACCTATCTGTGATATAGAGGGTTTATCCAGCTTTGTCAGCCTTTTCATGATGAGCTAATTGACTATTTGACAATTTGACCTTTTATTCTTATCAAAGGTAGAGATGATTGCCTTCCATCTTAATGAATTATAAAGTAGATTTCACTCAGTGGAGCACAGACCTCTACAAACAGCACTTAACTATTAAGACCACTACTCACCACTACTTATTTTCGATCCCTACCAACAAATTCCTGAGGCGTGTTTCTGGCTCTTGAGCAGCAAAAAAGGTCTTATATCTTCACTGTTTTGTTGCAAACGTTGCCTTTATCCCATGTCTTGCTATTTATCTATAATCTATTATAAACGGAGAGCGTTTAAGGTTGGTAAGAGTTACATGACATTTGTGGTCTGACAGCGAAATGGATAGCTGAAAGGCGTCACAATACTGTTTTTTGTCATGATTCATTACTTTGAGCAACACCGCTAGCAACTTGATTTAGTTAATATAAAAGTATTGATGAAAGCAGGTTTGTGATCATTTTCAAAGCTGTTCTTAGTCCCATTTTTCAATGCTATGTCAGGTTTTCAGTAACTTTCATAATAACTTTGTGCCACTTTCTAGCTTAGTTTTTTTTATTTGTAGCCTTTGTCTGTATTTTCTGTATTCTGTATTTAGATATGGGAAGGAGAGATTAGGAATGACATGCACCAAAGTGGCCAATGTGGCAAAGACTCTGTCTCTGTTCATGGTCTGTGTACTCTGCCAAACGGGGCAAAACCAGCGCCCACTTTTAGGTCCATGTTATATTGTCATAATTACACACTACACATTACATTTTGTGATTAGAATCCATCTACCGACTCATCACAATGAAAAAACACCTACTTAAACCTTGTCATGTCCTGCTCCAGCTGTCCCATTGCATCTGCAGGAAACGCAGACACTCTCCATGCCACTGTGTTAGCAACGAGCTGTACATTAGCAATATTGGATATTATTTCAGACTTACTTTAATGGTCCCTAAATAACACCTTATCCACTGCAATCATCACAATCTTTATCAACCTGCTGCTGGTGAATGGCTTCTTGTGCTGCACTTTAAATGATACTGATCTGTTGCCACATTGGCCTTCTTCTTTGTTGGTTGGGTGAATAGAGACGCTGTTTTAGCGTGCTAGCTGCACAGTGTAGTGGTGCTCCACATGGCCTCTTTTGCCGGCTGAAATGCTGATACCGCAGATAAGGCGCACACACTGGTCCCTTACCTTCTTCACTCTAGCCATGGAGTGGAAAATTGTTTATTTTCAGCTTCTTCTTGCCATGGCCACCTTTGTTAAACAGGCTTGCTAATTGCAACAAACTTCTCACTTTTAGCTAAGCTAGAGAGTCAATTTTATGATGACAGCTACATGCCATATCGGAGGGGAGGACGTCTGTGTGTTTGATTGAAATGAATTGGAGAGAGCATGTCAAGGTGCATTGTACAACCTCTAGCAAGCTACTGAAATCCATTTGGTGAGCTCCCAAACAAGTGTGCAAACGATGTGTAGGAGACCCCTGCTCTAGAAGTTACATATCTTCAAATGGGAAATCGTTACCCTTGCTTTTTCCCCCACACCAACCTTTAAGCATAATCGTGACCAACTCTTCAGCCTGCTAGCAGCGAAGCAGGCACAGTTTGATCACAACTACCCCCCCACCTCTAACTCTGTTGGCAGAGATCCAACTACTGCCATAAGAAATATCGACCTCTCATTCCTCCATGTGGCTTCATGCAGGCTGGAGACCAACTAGCTGCTGGAATAAGCTGTATAGCTGGTAAGCTGGCTGGTTGGCTTGCCCTGAGTGAAACCATTGTGTGTGTGTAACCCCCACAACACTGGGGTTAGAGAAAGAAAGAGAGAGTGTGTGTGTGTGTGTGTGTGTGTGTGTGTGTGTGTGTGTGTGTGTGTGTGTGTGTGTGTGTGTGTGTGTGTGTGTGTGTGTGTGTGTGTGTGTGTGTGTGTGTGTGTGTGTGTGTGTGTGTGTGTGTGTGTGTGTGTGTGTGTGTGTGTGTGTGTGTGTGGGGCAGGCTCAGTTCGGTCAAGCAGCCCATATTTACACAGTCAAAAGAAAGGATAAGAAAGTTCTACCTTACAAGGTCCTGTGTGGAGGGCATGAAAAGATCTGTCTCTCACTCAAGGACTGCTGGACTAATTACATCACACTCTGCCTTTTAAGTAGTAAAGGAAATGGTTAATAAATATAGAAGGCTATTGTGTGGAATAACCAAAACTGATCAAGTTTTACTGAAAATATACTTTTCTTGGAACAGAAATTAGTTTGATAAAACATTATTTATGGGGCTTAAAGGTCTAATTTTTAATATTTTATTTATTGTTAAGTTGATTTTGTTTTTATTTCTAGCGTTTATGATCAATTTCCTCATACTCACTTCTATCTTCCTTAGCCTTTTTAGGAAAGTAGGTGGTGCTCTTACTCAGGACTAAAGAGGAAAAGGATTGGGTGAAAATAGAGTTCTGAGGAAAGGATGTTCTTTGAGAAGTGAAGAGAGAGTGGAAAAAGCAGGAGGAGGAGACGAGGTGACAAGTGCAGACAGCGTGTTGTGTCCTTTTTGGTGAGGAGTCTGGTGTATTACATAACGAGAAGCTTTTCAAACCTCAGCTCAAAGTGATGCATTAAAGTTGTTAAAGCATCATTATGATACGCATAAAAGTCAAATCAGTGGAAAATAACTATCAACAAGCTGACAGAAAAGTCTTTATCATCATCGCATGCATTCACAGTCGTAGCAGCTCAATGAAAAGCAGGGAAAATGGGATTATATATTATGTACCAAAGGATCTCGTTAAGAACTCTAGAGGGCACGAAGTCAAAAAGTCATACAACCTCACACAGACTGAAATGTATTAACGCATGCAAGCTTGATTTCACATTCAGAAATATCAAACAATGAGATGAAGGCTTATAGTACAAAAGCCAATCATACAGAATAAAACAAGCCTTTCAACAAATCTGTGTGAAATTATAAACAAAAATGCTTATGTGAGAAGATATTTTTGACTTGATTACAAGTCAAATAGACTAGTTTAAAGAGCTTGATAGACTTCATCTACAACTTATCACTCATCACTCACTGACACTCATCTACAAATTGTTGCAACCGATTGAACAGCTTGAAATTATTGTATAGATGGAGCAACTTCTGTTTAAAGACAAAACA